ATAGGAAAAAACAAAATACCCCCTCTACCAAAATTGGTCAATTCAGTCAGAAAAGTGACTTCATAATTAGTTGTTTTAATTATTACTTAATTCAGCGCGCGGAAAATTGGCTGATAAGCCGAAAATGGGGGCTACCGAACAAGCCCTAAATCTGTTTATATTAGAAACCTAAGTCAAACATGTCCTAATAATCTGACCCGAATGAATTAACACTCTTCCTACTCAATATAAGACATATTAAGTCGCCTCTCATCAATGTCACATTTAATACTCTCGGTCTCACCCATGGAATTAGATCATTTTGAACTACAAGATGAAGGAAATAACAAAGAACAGAACAGTGATGCAATTTATTGGATGCACAATGACTGTACCCATGAATGAAAACACCTGGAAAAATAAGAGGGTGGAGGAGATAGTGATGTAAATGAGATTAAAATCATTAAATACAGATAATTTGATGTAAGATGACTCAAAATTATGTTTGGGCTTCAAATTATAGGAAACCCAACAAGAAAATGCACTTCAAATTATGTTTGGGCTTCAAATTATAGGAAACCCAAAATATATAAATACGGAGTAATTATATACACTTGTAATCAAATGCATTTGCCATTTAACCACTACTCATAATGTTGCGCAGGAAAAAGTTCCACAGCAACGCTTCTAGAAGGGCTTGTAAACATAGTTTCCTGCGATGCATCTAATAAGTACTAATGCGACTTACAGCAATACCAAACCAAAGTTTAGTTTAAACAATCTAAGCAGACGCACGGAGCACCTGATATAACAAACTAAAAGTTCAAGTAATAGAATATACCTCCTCAATAATTTTCACCGCTATTCTGTCTTTAACACTCCCTCCTGGATTCAAGAACTCTGCTTTCCCAAGAATCTGTTGATCAATCGAAAGCACAGAGGTATGTTTGGTGAGTTTAATAGGAGATCTTTTGAAAAGATCTTTGAAACCGAGTTTTTTTGTAATTGTAAGTTTTAGCAACCGAAAAGATCTTGGGAAAAACGTGAGTTTGCATTAGTATTGGTAACTTTTGGAGAACTTTTAAATAGGAGAGATTATCCCGCATAATAATAAGCAAAACAGGGGGGAAAACGAGTAATTGCAAAAGCTGATTGAAATTGAAATTGAAATAAACTAGTGTGTGTGTGTTCAGCGAGAGAGAGGTGGTACCTCGCATCCTGTAGCGTCTGAAAGGCTGTTGATTCTAATCAAAGGGGTGTTGCCAATTGCGGCGACTAAGCCATTTTTGGACTTCTTTCTTCTGGGTGACTTCTTTTCATTGTGCTTGCAAATGATGTAAGAGACAGCAACGGCTATCGAGAGCCCGGTGACAATAGCGTCGACGGTCTTTCTCACAGGCAGCATCATTGCCGTCGGATGTCGGTTAACTGGTGTGACTCTGGCATCGGAAATCATACACCTGGCGTGGGTTTGGTTAAATAAAGAAATAAAAGGGTTGTGTCTAGAAATCTAATCAGTTCTCCCTTTGAATTTATTAAGTTCTGATATGATCTGAATTTTTCTAATCTGATCTGATCTGAATCTTTCTGATCTGGTCTGATCTGATCTGAATTTTTCTGATCTGATTTGATCTGAATAAAATAAGAATAAGCAATAAGTAATAAGAATAAGGCGAACAGAACAGCTTCTAAATCCTAGAAAGTTGGCAGTTAATTGTGATATCTCTTTATGGGGTGTTTGAATCTTATTTTTTAAACTGATTCTGCTCCTTCAGAGAACAGAAATAGAAGCTAGAGTATTTGGATGAAAGTGCAGAAATAATTCTAGTGCTCTAATTTACTCATGGAATCAGTTTTTTTAGGAGTTGGGGCGACCAACTTCTGAAAACTGATTCTGATTCTGATTCCGATTCCGTTTCTGCTTTAAAAAAGAAGTAGAAGCAGATTCTGTTTCTGATTATGTCAACTATCGGTAATGTTGCATTTTAGTACCTTAACTCTTTAATGAAGCAAAATAATACCTCAACTACGTTTGTGTTTAGTTCATGTCATTTGTGATTGTGATGATTAAGCTATCAAACATTGAAGTATGCCAAATTAAACATATTGTCCAAAGTTTGTGATCATTGACCAAAAAATGTGAATACGGTGAACTTTTTCGAGACTGGGAAGAATGAATTTTGATATATTTTTTATGAAATATAAAAACAAATTATAATTATAATACATTAATAAAGACATGCACTCTTGATAACACTAATACAGAGTAAAAGAGTCTTCTATAAATTCCAAAATAAACAAACGGTCTCTGGTTAATAATAGGAAAAATTGAAAATAATAATCCCAACTATTGCTGGTCCGCTGATAATAATCTCAACTATTGATTATTTTTGTATAATCTCAACTATATGGTCTATGGACCATCCGCCAATAATGGTCCATGACCATATATTACCTCCTATAAAAAGTGCATTTTAAATAGAAGTTAAGCGTAAAATTAAAAGTTGAGATTGTTTATAGGGATTACTTGTTATATCTCTTCTCATCCACTTTAGAAACTACGAGAATTTATTTATAGGGACCATTATTGACGGAAGGTCCCTAAAGTTGGGATTATTCTGAAATAATCAATAGTTGGGATTATTATGGGTGGACCATCAATAGTTGAGATTATTACTATCAATTTTTCCTTAATAATATTATTTCATACTTCAACATAACTTCAACATACTTTAATTTTTTATTTTGGATTTTTTAAGAGACTCTTTTACTCCGAATAATGTTATCAAAAGTGCATGTCTTTATTAATGTATTATAGTTATAATTTGTTTTTATATTTCATAAAAAATATATCAAAATTCATTCTACCCTAGTCACGAAAAAGTTCACCATATTCACATTTTTTGGTCAATGATCACAAACTCTGGACAATATGTTTAATTTATAAATTTATAAATAATTTATAAAAAATTATAAATTTATATTTTACAAATTTTATACTATTATTAAAACATTTTTGAATAAAGAACAATTTGATATAATTTTCATATTCAAAAATATTCATAGTAAAAAATATCATTGGTCAAAGCTCATTGTCATTGAACAAAAAGCCAATTTGGCAATCCTTTTCGGGACGAAGGTAGTAATTTTTTATAATCTTTCATGTGACACAAATATTACATGTATAAAGTAAAAACATGTCTGAAATTTCAATTGTTGGAATTTTAGAATAAAAACGTGAAATATAATTTTTAACAAAAATGTATAAAGTAAACATATATAAGATGGTCTGAAAAATATATAATATACTACAAATTTATGATGTAAATATACTTTGGTACACTCCGTGTAACATATTTAGAGGCTGTCAAAAAAATAAATAAAGTTAATTAGTCAAAATGGCAGATGAATGATACTTGTATTCTTTTTTTCTTCAAAGGAAACAAAAAAACATCGTGGCTAGATGGGGTTGGTATTGGCTCTAATTAGTAACACACGTGAATGACTCGGGTTCAACTCCCAAGGATGTTTATTGGGGTATTCTTCAATTTTTGATAGCTTAATCATTACAAATGACATGGTAGGGTTGAGCACGGATCTGGGAATTCCCGTTCCGTACCGAAGAACTGTTTCGAACCGTTTCAGAATCGATAGAACCGGAAAAATGTAACACCGTACCGAGCTTTTTTAATAATATATGGTACGGTACCGGTTCTTAGTGAGAACCGTTCCAAAACCGTCCCGGAACCGTATTGAACCGAACCGTACCGTACCGAGTTGTCCCGAAAACTAGTGTTATAATCTAATAATATATTAAAGATTATACGTAATATATAATAGAGAACATTACCCGAAATGGGCCAAAAAAAGTTTGAAAATTCCAAAATAGGACTATCATGTTTTTATTCCCAAAGTAGGACTAATTAATGTCATGTTTTGGTAGTACCACACTTCAAACATGGCACTGTTTTCCAAACTTGGCAGTAATTACTCATATTTTGGAAATATAAAACACGACAGTCCTATTTTGGAATTTTCAATCTGTTTTAGTCATATTTCGGGAACTTTCCCTATATAATGTATTATCAAGTATAAATGTCCATATATTACAAATATATAAGTTCTTCTCTTCATTTTTTGTAGTGTTATTTATAAATGTTAAACTAAACTTTTTTATATTTCATGGGGGTTAATTATTTAGGAACCAAATAACACCGGAGAACCGTACTGAACCGTTCCAAACCGTACTGAAAATTGGTATGAGACGGGATAGGTTCTATATATATGCAGGACGGTACCAGTTCTTGATTTTTAAAAGAACCGTACTTTGGGACGGGACATGTACTTTGAAATAACCGTCCCATACCGTCCCATGCTCACCCCTATGACATGGGTTATACACAAATGACGTGGAAAAAAATGATGACTAGGATATACATGTGGAATCTCGGCGGACAAGTGACAATTTTTGGCCGGAATATTGAATGGTATTATCGGATGCAACATTTAAACGTAGTTGAGGTACTCTTTTGCTTCATTAAGTTAAGGTACTAAAATGCAACATTACCAATAGTTAAGATGTTATTTATGTATTTTACTCGTTTGTTGCAGGTTCTTTGTTGAGACGAGGATGAAAATAAGCCGAATGTTTTGTATGTAGACTTCCACTAAACCAATTAATAATTTGATTTTGTATACTTTTATTGTTGATTTTGCATCCCGTTTTAAAAAATTATTATTTACATTCTAACTCTGTATAAAAAGACAAAAAGTGTCATTCAATCATGAATATGTTGAAGGTCAACAAGAATTATTAATAGAAGGAAATTCTTGTCTTCCATACGAAATTGGAGTACAATTACAATTTTTTTCTAAATTTGGGTGCAAATTCTAATTTGGACAGTTAAACATTTAAAACTTTGAAAGGATGGATTAATATCTGTCCCACCGGATTAAAAATTGTCTCTGCCCTACGGAAAGCAGCAAATCCTCCAAGTTTTGCTTATTTAAATTATTTCCCGCGCCCCTCAAGTGTTAACTAAACAATCCGCTACCTGTAAACAACCCATTAGATTAGATACTCCTAAAACCACTACAATTTTTAGTTCGCTGAAGGAGAATGGAGGGAAAGCGTCCCGGTTACTCGCACCGTGAAGTATTGCGAAGGCTGAGAGGCATTTTAGTTTTTTCTGTTTCTGGTTTTGTTTTGATTGATAGGAAACAGGAGAAGTTTTTTTCTTCATATAAGCATTCCGTGCATTTTTTAAATTTACAATGACGAACACATTATATTCATTCGACGTGACTTCGGCATACTTTTGCAGAGGTAACTCGATCCATTGTTGAAGATCTCGCGAAAAATCGCTCGCCAATCATTTACATTGATCGTTTCAGAAATTACTGCACAGATGAATCTGGAAACTGGTTAGATTATTTACAAGTTACAACTTATTTAATTATCACCTCGGTTATTAATAGCCTCTGCATATTCGGTTAGGGATTGAGTGCCATATTTGTTCTATGTGTTGCGATTAAAAACCAAAGTTGGTTGCGTTTTTTGGATCATGAATTGTGTGGTTCAGTTGGGATGATCATGGATATGAATCTTACTGTCAATTTATGTCTTATTAAGTGCAATGAACTTTTTATGAGTGCTTCTGCCTTTTCTCTTATGCGCAGTTCTTGCAGCTCTGGTTTGTCCAATGGGAAGGAAGTCATTACACTGAAGAAGGAATGTCATGCACGTAGGCTAGGTGACTTTCAAAATAGTCATTCTACCATGCTTATTCCCCGTTTTAGCAGGGATTGGAAAATAAAGATATGTATTGAAGAAAATGATCTATCTGAAATTTCATTATTAGTTTGAATTATTATGGTTTTTTTTAAAAGCAATTGTGTAAATTGTTATGGAATTGCATTTGCATTTTCCTTCTTTATGGATTGAATGAAACTGATACAATCCAAGCCGTTTTGTCCCAAATTAATCCAACATCTATTTATATCCCGTGTTGTGAATATATGCCATGTGAAGTTGGTAATCTAGTGTTGGTTGTTTCATGGTTTCCAGATGTTTTTTTAAGAGTGCTACTAATCATTCAGCAACTCCTGCAAGAAAACCGGCATGGTTCAAAAAGAGACATATATTACATGCACCCTTCTGTTTTTAAAGGTAAATGGGGAAAGGTTGTGTTCCCTTCAATATGTGTGACAATGCGAGTTGTAGCATTGAACATTTGAACCAAGGACTTGCATATGTGCTCAAGAATTGTTACAAAAACTGTTGAAAACTAATTTACTAGTCTCGTACTTTCGTATTTTAAAATTATATGAAGTCCATATAAATTTTGTGGAAATATAGATATGCATTTTATTTCAATTGTTAGAATCTTCACTTGATTGTCTTCATAGCCTGAATCTTTCATTTACATTGTCTGCTCACAACTTTATATTATTGCCTTTACCTTTTTTGATGCAGATCAAGCAACCGTTGACCGAGCAATTAATGATATATGCATACTTTTGCAATGCAGTCGGCATAACCTGAATGTGGTATGAACTCTAAATTGCTCTTGTAGCCTCTATATATAGAAAGCATTATGCAATCAAATATGTCAATGAAGATATGTGCATATGACTATAATACAATTCAGTATGGACGTGTTCGGTAATTTTTCTTTCTATCTTTTGCAGGTTTCAGTTGGGAATGGGTGAGTACCCATGCAGGACGAAAACAATTCACTATAGCAATACTGTGTCTAATGCTGTTTTAACAATAACATTAGTACATCGATGTGGTTTTTCAAGTTTATTAATTTACCAGAACTTATTTGTGTGAGTGCAATGAAATCCCTCTTTCTCAGAGAATCATACATATACAACGAATTTGATACTTTAAAAGACACTTTTTCCATCTGCAAAGAGTACCGATTATAATGTCATACTGTCATAGCGTTGTTGGGCTCGGGTATCATGCTATTTTACTGTTTAGTCATTGGTCGATACGGAGACTTTTCTTGGTCAGCCTTGAAACATAATCACATCCAAGCACCATTACTGAATCATCTAGTTTAGCGTTAAAAAAAATTCGTGGTAGCATGGAAATATTACACTGACATGGTTCAGAGTCTCTTGAAAGGTCAACGATAGCAGAAACGCCAACAACGAACAATCCTTAGAAAATCTCTCGAGGTTCTTCATTGGGGTTGATTACATGAAGCAATGGAGAATATTATGAGATTCTTCACCAAAATTCTCATTATCCACTCTTTTCTGTCATGTATCAAATGCTCATTAAGCACCAATACTGTAATTTATCTTTTTACATCTTTCAATCCATGCATTCTCGACCTTCAATGGCTCCTCCTTTTTAAGTCTCCAACAATTTCTTGAAAGGATCTAGGGGTAGTCCTCAACTTCCTTGATGAACAGCCTCCTTGCCTTTCTTGTATATATCATTAGATATATGTTCCAAAGCTTTTGTTTTCAACTTTTCTCATTCCTTGGTTTTTTTGTTTGATCTAGTTTAGTGATGGGCTGGCTACAATTTGTAGAAGCTGGGAGAAAATTTGACTGCATTAACAGTCCAAACACAGTAAGCCTAACTGCGTACTATCATTACAAATCAACATGATTACTGTACTGCAATGTGATATTCAAGAGGTTCACATTCTTGCAGGCACATCCCATTCCCGTTCATGTAGAAGAGGTTGAAAGTATGCTTTTGAGAATGTCATGACATGTTATAAGATAACTGTGTGATGTGTAAAATTTCGTATGGAATAAAGAATTAAGAAGGAATCCAGCAGGTTGAATGTGTGAAAATGCGACTTATAGGAAAGGAAAAGGTTAGGGGGTGATGAGTATTTTTTCTTGTTCTATAATTATTATTATTATATACTATTATTTTATTATTAATTAATGGTAAGGGATTAAGGAGAAGTGTCTGAATATAAGTGAAGATACACTGTCTGCACAATGTTAAGTAATATTAACCTCAATCTGTGCAACTTTTGGATGGTATCCCTTAATGTGTACTCAGGTATTATAAGTGTTGCACAGTACATTTTAGTTGTGGAAAAGGAATCAGGTATTACTTGTCATTTGCAGGGTAGTGATTCTTTATTACTTTCAGCATCTAACCAGGACATGATTTGATACGTTTGTATACATATATATGCAGTATTTCAACGGCTAGCAAATGATCAATTCTGCAAAAGAAATCATTGCATTGTCATTTCAGTAAGCTCTTCATGTCAGCACTTTTCTCTAAATCATGATATTAGTATCTGGTAATATTCTTTTTAACAGGGCAGAGGTTATCCGGATGTTTCCACTAGGAGGTAGGAGTCTCTATTCCATTATTGTTTCGTTCTATTGCCAGACTGATATCCTAAAAAAGAATCATCTGAATCATCACCATCATATATTATTGACAGATTCCTGAGGTTGCTCACTGAGAAGTTGTGCCTGCCGACATATTGCCTAGTAGATTGTGATCCTTATGGCTTTGACATCTTGGCAACATACAAATTTGGCTCCATGGTGAGATTTTCAGAGCATTTAATTTTTTAAATCAAATAGGCAGGCCTAGTATCACAATTGGCAAACGGATGGCACTCACTTATGACACACAATCACACAACTTGTTTCTTGAAGCAAATGGCCCATGATGCCAATTTTCTGCGGATCCCTGAGATAAGGTGGCTTGGAGCTTTTCCTCTAGATTGTGATAGCTACTGTATTCCACAACAATGTCTTCTGCCCTTGACAGAAGAAGGTGGTATTCTTTTCTGATGAACTAAGAATTTTACTTTAAAGTGTCTTGGTATCCTAACGAGTAAATAAAATAATGTCAGATAAGAAGAGAGTTCAAACAATGTTACAAAGATGCTACGTGCAAAGAGAAGTGCCTAAATGGAGGTTAACTTTTTGCTGATATTTCATCACGAAAGAAATTAATTCTAAATTTTTGTCATTTGGATACTCAACATTTGTGTCTGTGTTTTAGAATTGAATTAGAGCTGCTGCTACAGAAGGGAGTCAAATTTGAGCTTGAAGCGTTGTCTGCCTGTTCACTTTCGTTTTTGACAGACGTGTATTTACCATCTAATATTCAAGGTGGAAGGTATATATGATTACATGAAACATATTTACCACTCTTCTAGTCTCCCCTTGTATTCGTTATGTTTTACTGGGCTAATTGGGTTATGGAAAACCCGATTTTGATAGTTCAAAGGTGTGGTAGTTTTGGTTATGGCAACAACAGGAAAGATATATTACTCCGTACAGAGAGTGTCAAAATGTTTTGTTATCCATTATTCTCCCTCTGTTGATTCTCCATGCATAGTTACGCAACGCAACCTAAGCCGAAGATAGATACTAGTATATAAAATATGAAATGTGGATTTTGGGAAGTAAAAGACATACTACGTATAATATTTCTAGATATTCATCATATTAAATAAATGCCATTAATTTTTGTAACAATAAACCAAACGTTTTGTTAAATTGTAAAGAAATATAATGGGTAGTCCATTCTTCAGATTTATTTCTCGAGACTTGTATTAGAGCACTAGATCACGGCTACTCATCCCGCAGGAGTAGCTCAATTGGTTCAATGATGGGAAATTTGGAACAATAACCAAAGTTTGAAACTCGTAGCGTCTGTATAGAGGTCACAACTCCTACGTGCTGGGTTGGACCTCTGGTGCGCACGAGTATACCATAGTCTACCATAATTGGGCCGACTGAGTCACCGTGACTTACTCCACCATTCTGTCGGGTCGGGGTGTGGAAGCTCCTGGGTGGGAGATTCAGCTTTTTCGAACAACTAGAAACACGGCCACCCATATAATTTTAGCCTTTTAGGCTTGATGATACACACAAATGTCAGCGTTTGAAAAGTGTAACAAGACTAATCCACTGTATATGTAGTTTTTATCCAACATCCATAATTTTAGATTCAAAGTCTTGTTCTGTCGAGGAAGATAATCAAGATATGATAATTTAAAATTATGTACTCACCTTAGATTTGGTTTCATATGACGTGTCATTAGTATTCATCATTTTATCTTCAAGATTTTTGTTATTTGTTTTTATTTCTTCGGATCATTGCCTCATTGGCTGTTAAGATTGAATTTCATTAGTTTTGTTATGTATGTTTCCGACCTCTTACAAATTAGTCCGCAGATCTTGCTTAGATGGCTCATGGCTTTTGTGACATTAATAAATGTTAATGGTTGAAACTTCTTGGATCTAATATCGTTTTACGGCCTGTTTGGATTAAGTGTTGAGGGGTGTTAGTAATGGAAGTGTTAAGGGGTGTTGGTTTTAACACTTGTTTGGGAGATGTTTTTGGGAGATTTTTTTTTAAAAAACTGGAGTGTTAGTAAGTGTTTAAAGGTGTTAGGGGAAACCTTTCTAACACCTCAATAAGTGACTTTTTTAACACCCCAAATTGGAGTGTTTTGGAGTGTTGGACAAATCTTACCCTTTCATATTTCTTCCTGTAGCTATATTATCGTCATCGCTGAAAGGATGTTCTTTCCCTGATTTCTTCGTTGAGGCCAGTTCGTATACCGTGGTATCACCCCACGGTGAGCACCGTGCTCCCACATCCAAAACGACGTAGTTTTGCACATTTTTTTTTTAAAAAATTCGCGTGAACAGTAACGCGTGAACAGTAACGCGTGAACAGTAACTATTTTTTGTCCCAGTAATATGAACGATGTAACTCGCGTGTAAATTAATGTAACTCATGTTATTGATCGATGTAACTCAAGTCCAGTCGAAATGTAACTTGTCAAATACATAGTATAAGAAATAAAAACATTGATTTCAACGTTAACAATGAAAAAAAGAGTCTAATTGATCATCACTTTACATAAATAGTGAATATTTTTGTTTTTAATATCAAAGACATAAAGATTATTTGAAAAAAAAATTGTTGTTTCAGTAGCAGAGGTAATCTATGATGTAACTCGTGTTAGGCTAAATGTAACTTGTGTTGATAGAAAATGTAACTTACATGTATGCAAAATGTAACTTACACTGATATAACTCGCTTATAAAATGATGTAACTTGCGCATAAAATGATGTAACTCACGCTTAAAAAAAATGTAACTCGGACACAAGAAGATGTAATTTAATTTCTTATATTATCAAATCTAACTTTAGGCAAATTCTGATGTAAGTACATGTATTTTCAAATGTAATTTGAACCAAATCAATTTATAAATTGTCTAAACTCCCCTTTTTATAAGTATAACTGTATTAAGTATAATATATAAAATGAAATCAAATCAATTTATAAATCATCTCTTCGATCATCTCTTTTATTCATCTCCAGCATCTTGATCATCATCTAATCCATCAACAAAGCAGTCAACGGTTCTATTAGATGTTAATCGATGCTCCAGTTCCATGTTTCTCTTTGATTTGTGATTTGATACTCTTTTGATCTCAGGCTGAAGATGAATGAACTGATGCTCTGTTTTTATTTTGCTGTGATCGATCGATTTATGAAGTCGGCGTTGTTTATAATTAACAAAGTGATGTCGTTTTGGGATCGGCACACCATGAGCATGGTGGGCCGATCCCACGGTATAATTTGCGCGTTGAGGCTGGTGAGCTATATACATATATAAATAAATATATTGTTATAAATCCCTATCAGCAAGCAAATTGAAAGGAAGACGTCATCTGCTCCCTTACTCAAGTGTCTCGATGAGAACCTCATGCTTCTTCTTTGTTTCTGTTTGCCGTTTGGTACAAATTTTTCAAAGTGAAATTGTATTGCTTCTTAGAAATTCTTTTTGTAAGTGTCAAATTGTATCTAGGATTAGGATCTAATTTTACGACAAGTATCTTTTTCTTTCCATTCGAATGGATATTGTATTGTACTCCAGGACTTTTGCAGTTTATAGTTTTAGTTAACAAAACGAACTTACGAACCCGGTCATATAACACTATGTTTAGGGTTTAAACAAGGACATTATTGTCAATTTCACCTAAAACACTTCCCTTATTAACACTTCATTTTTTTAACCCTCCCAAACAAGGTAAGTTTATGTTTAACACTTACACTTACTTTCCCTTCCGGGCCCTTCCCAACACTTAGTAACACTCCCATTACTAACACCTCCCAACACTCCATCCAAACAGACCGTTAGACTCTAAAACGTTTAAGAATTGCATATATGATCCTATGTCCACCCCTCGATCTCACCCCCACGGTCTCTGTATCATTAACACAGCTGTTGTGTGGTAGTGCCCTCGTAATTCTCTGCCAATGCAATGTTGGGGATATTCCTTCGTCACTTGCTCCTAGCAGTCCGGTTCTGGCCGACGAACACGTATTACTCCGGCGAATTGCTTCTTTCCTCTTCATCAGTTTATAGCAGCTTGATGAAGACTCTTGATCGTGGTCCTCTTCTCTACTCTTTTGGCCGATGCACCTTGGTTTGTCTTCTAAAGTTGTTATATTCTGTCCTCTCCAGTAACACAGCAAGTACGTAATAAACACACCTGCAAAGAAGAATAACAAAAAACATCGTGGCTCGAGACGCGTAAACGCTGTCCTCAGAAAGTATTTCCGGCGGACGGAAATCTTTCCCCAGGATATAACGAACCCTTCGGCGGATCGCTGGACACAGAACTACGAGGATATAATATGATTACGTAATCCAGCAGTGCTTAGGTGATTTCATGTAAAAGGCTTCATTTGTAAAACTACATGGCCGTGTGTTTTCTTAAGGAATGTTTATGGGAGTAGATAAGTTTGATTGTTGTTCATCCTTATTCCTTGGCTGCATTGGAGCATTATGTACGTAGTATCAAAAAATGGCTGTTGAGATGATCCTATTAAAATGGAGAGTGTAAAGGAGATAAACGGACATCCAAATAGTGCAGCCCAACTGTTATTGAAGAGGCTTGGTCAAATATAATATATTAAAGAGGTTAATTAAAATAATTAAATGTTTTAATTACTCCAAAAACGTATGCTCTGAATTGATCAATCAAAAAGCATCCGTTCAAAATTAATTGATTCATTTGTTTATTTGAAATAAAATAAATATTCCAACAATCCCCCACATATTTCAAATAAACATTTTAAGTTAAAATAAATTTGAAAATTTGCTAGATTAACGGGAATGGGACTTTAAGTCTAGTGTCCGTAGACTATGAGTCTATGAACCAAACCGAGATATTGAAAATACAAAAACTTGGTTACTATCTAAGAAACTAACTATTTTAGTGACTATCAATTGCTTAAAAAATATTGTAAACATAGTGTTTTTTAGTTACTAATGACTATAGGGCCGGGCAACACAAACATATTCTTCTAGTAACTATATAGTTACTACTCAATACGATGTTAAAAAAAATAAAATGGCCAATATAAATGCTCTTAAATTACCGCTTCCCGTTACCAAAATTTTGGTTAATGCTTCATTTTTTTTTTGCGCGGTGGCCTTCTCAATATCAATCTATACATGGTAACATCTATACTAGGGGTGGGCGTATCGGTTTTCGATTCGGTTTTTATCGGGATTGGTTCGGTTTGGAACGGGTTGGAAGAATTGTTACCAAACAAAAAGTATACTATTTTTCGGTTTGGTTTGGTTCGATCTAGTTCGGTTTGGACTTGTTATGTTTTACTAATATATGAAGTTTTTTTTGAATTTCTTTACTTCGGTTCAGTTTTGTTTGATTTTCACCGGTTTCGGTTTGGTTTAATACAGTTTGGAAGAAATTGTACCAAACTCAAACCAAATTGCATACAGTCCGATCTCGATTTGATTTAGTTTTATTTGGTACGGTTTAGTTCTGTTAAACCAAATCGATATGTCCACCATAATCATTACTATTAAACATACATGATTAGCAAAGAGCCACAAAATTGGAAAACTGTCAATTAAGTCACGTGTAGTGCTGGACTCGGGCCGGGCGGCCCGGCCCGGAACCGGCCCGGCCCGGTTACTGTTAGGCCCGGCCCGGCCCGGGGCCCGGTGGGTCCACCGGTTCGGCCCGGCCCGGCCCGGCTGCTGGGCGGTTCGGGCCCGGGCCCAGGTTTTGGTGAACCGGCCCGGCCGGTTCGGGCCCGGTCCGGGCCGGATTTTAATTTTTTTTTTTTTTTTTTTGAAATTTTTTTAAGTTTTAGGTTGGATTAGGTATTTTGGGCCATTTGAGGTGGTTTGGGATGGTTTGGGGTTGAGGGGGAGGGGTAGGGGATTAAATAGGAGACCAAAAAAAAAAAAAAAATTAAGTGGGCCGGTTCGGCCCGACCCGGCCCGGCCCGGTTTGGCCCGGAACCGGAACC